TCTCTGTTACCCTGACTTCGACTAGTTACTGACTGAGCTTTTTCTCTGTCTACGTTAAGTCCGGGAAATTCTAAGGCCCCGGTTATACGTTATCCTTGCTGTCCTGAACTCTGCGTGTTGGGGTATTACGCCGTGACAACAGTTTAGTTATTTCTGGACATTTGATATATTAGTAACATTTTATCTCTCTTTTTTTTTATAATTTTGTAGCTAAATAATAGGGCTTTAACCACAACATAGGCATTAAAAACAATTACCTTTCTCACTTCATCAAGTACCACTTCAAATGACTTCTTGTCCATGGTTGCTCCAGCTCAAAAAACAACAGCCTATTGTTGTCCAGGCCTGATTGTGTGAAGAGTGCACAGAGTTTGAACTGTTTGCATTGAGTGTCAAAGGAACTTCCAATGAACCATAGTGGTCTAGTAAAGGTACCAAGATGAAAGCAGTGGAATCATGGCAGGGTACCCAGTAACAAAGGGACTGAAAGCATGCAGACTGTAAAAGCGCCTGAGATGCAGTTTGGTGACCCAGTGAACAGAACATGTGAAGCTTTTGATGCAATTTCAATCTGGAAGGGAAAAAAAAAAAAAGAGGGGAAAAAAAAAGTTTTTTTTAAATTTGTGTAAATTTGAAAGCAAAGAGGCCAGTGTGCGACAAACACAATAACCAAATAGGATCACATTTAAATAAAATCACAGTGTCACTGACCTGACATGCCATGCCAGTAGTATATTAATTTTAGTTGTAAATGTTGACATAATATTCATAGTATAATTTCCAATATGCATACTGCACTCTCCTTGATCCCAGTGTGCAACCAGGCCTGAGGTTGTCCAATCTTCACAATGTGATTTGCAGAAAAGTGATGATGGTCCAGGCACTCAAGTTCAATCCAGTGGGCAGATTTATTGGAGCAAAATCAAAACAACGTTTCGGCCCACAACAGGGTCTTTGTGAAGCTGGCAAAGGCCCTGTTGTGGGCCGAAACGTTGTTTCGATTTTGCTCTAATAAATCTGCCCACTGAATTGAACTTGAGTGCCTGGACCATCATTACTTTTTTGCAAATAAGATTCACAGTAGGCAGATTGTGAATAAAACATGTAGGGCTGGAAATTCACACTAAATGATATACCAGTGGGATAGAAACATCTAGTTTCCCTTCCTTATGTATCGTCATCTTACCATGGGTCCTAAAATAGCAACACTACAGACCCTGGGTGGCAAAGTACCACAGACATTTATGCCTGTCTTTCAATAACGCCAACTTCAGGGCATATCTTTGAAACATTACCCAACAACATCTACTCTTTCGACCTCTTACCTCCTTCGACACTCTTTGCTCAGAACCTGACCCAATAGCACATGGGGTGGTGGCATACTGTCCTTCAATATCAGTCCAGGCTGCCACCAGCAGCATACTTTAAGAAGTTGGAAAGAGCCTGGGAGAAAACTTTTCTGCTTCTCAATGGTAGAAGCTATGTGATTTATGCATCATTGCTTACTCTCAAGTGGGGTCCAGGAAACTGAATACAAGCTACTTGCCTTTTGGTACAGAACACCACAGGTGGTGAAGGATATTAACCAATCCCAACCTGGTCTCTGATGGAGATGTGGAAGAGCTGATCGTTCGACTTTGCGTGGGAAAGTCCCATCATACAGCTTTCTGGATGCAGAGCCACACCATTATCTCTCGTTTTTCTGATAAGCTACCACCTCTCCAGCCAGCCCTACTCCTCCTGCACCACACCACAACCCCTAGCTCAATGTATAAGAAGTCAATGACCATACGCATATTAAATGTAACCAAAAGCTTGATTCCATCATTTTTGAGGCAATGTACTCAGCCCTTCATGGAGCTGGGGTACTCTTGCATGGAGAAATTGTGTTCAATGGAGGAGCTAGAGTTTGGTGCAACTAGTAAGTCACAGGTCTATACAACAATATGGACGCAGTGGATGTTAACACCTAGTTTACAGATGCTATGTTCCGTAGTTTTTCTTCCATTTTTCCCCTAAGACCGCACTATGATTCGACGCCTTACTACAGTAAACTGGCTATGGAACCAAGACCATAGACTTTAACACGTAAACATGACTCTCTCTGCTGGTTTCTATTAAGATCTCATCATAATTTGAGTTTTACTTCACCATGAAGCCCCTCAAAGCAATATTATTCTATAATGCTCCTTTATTCTTTTTTTTTATTCTGCTATAAAACTGTTGCAAAACTGAGTATATGATGAAACAGAATGCAGTATGATCATGTAAACAACTTATACCAACAAACATTTGGATCGGAAATTCTACTGTACTGTCACTGCACTAATAAAAATAAAACATCTAGTTAAGAAGAAGCACATTTTGTCCATACACATACGGTTGGTAGGCTATAACCTTTCAACTCCTGACTACTAATCTTCTCTATGTAAAAAAATTCCAGTGCTATTTTCAAGGCCTGTCCATTAATCTACACATTAACCCCTTAAGGACCAAACTTCTGGAAAAAAAGGATATCATGACATGTCACACATGTCATGTGTCCTTAGGGGTTAAAGGGACACTATAGTCACCTGAACAACTTTAGTTTAATGAAGCAGTTTTGGTGTATAGAATATGCCCCTGCAGCCTCACTGCTCAATCCTCTGCCATTTAGGAGTTTAATCCCTTTGTTTATGAACCCTAGTCACACCTCTCTGCATGTGACTTGCACAGCCTTCCATAAACACTTCCTGTAAAGAGAGCCCTATTTAGGCTTTCTTTATTGCAAGTTCTGTTTAATTTATATTTTTTTATCCCCTGCTATGTTAATAGCTTGCTAGACCTTTCAAGAGCCTCCTGTATGTGATTAAAGTTCAATTTAGAGATTGAGATACAATTATTTAAGCTAAATTACATCTGTTTGAAAGTGAAACCAGTTTTTTTTGTCATGCAGGCTCTTTCAATCATAGCCAAGGGAGGTGTGGCTAGGGCTGCATAAACAGAAACAAATTGATTAAACTCCTAAATGACAGTGAATTGAGCAGTGAAATTGCAGGGGAATGATCTATACACTAAAACTGCTTTATTTAGCCAAAGTAATTTAGGTGACTATAGTGTTCCTTTAACAAACCTAAGTGGACAGTCTAGCCACATTCAAGCTTCCACAAGAGTCTAATATTTCAAATAAAGTATCTCGTATGTTTTGTTCATGAACACATGGAGTGTGAGTTATGTTTCCATTCAGGCACTATGAAACACAGAGAGCTCATTAGCATGCTTGCCGCAATCAGTTACCGACAAGTCAAAAATAAATGTTTTCTATATTTAAAGAACAAATTTAATAAATAGAAAAACAAATTGCAAATTTGAGTCTAAATTGTATGCTGCAGGAATTATGGCAATTAATAATAGAATTAATAATAATGAATACACTTTTTTTTCCAGTTTGTGTGTGCAGGTGTGTACCAGTTATTGGTATTAATGATGATTAAGGGCTTCTTTTTACCAGCATGCATGGAAAATAGCCTTTAGCGAGCCTTAAGGTGCAAGTACATTTCTCACACAGTTCTGTGAATAAGAAACTTAGCCAATCAGCGGCACCCTGCCACAACATCGCCAGACGCCAGGAGGTCTATTAAACAGGTGTTGTCTTTGCAACTTTGGGGTTAAACTATTCATAAATGGTTTGACCCCATAAAGGCAAGATAGCGCCCAGGATCTCTTGGAACCATAACAATTTAATTTAGATATAATCTGTTTAATATACATGTGTAAAGAAAAAAAAAAAAAAAAGAGCATCACATAAACAAATGAACACAGGGTAATTTCCTAGGGTTTGTTCAATAGCACAAATTCCAAAAAAGTTAGTTTCACTTTAACACCCCATTACTGCAGCAGTTACACAACTTGTGAGCTCCACTTGCAGAAAATTGGGGAAATGGAACACTCAACACTGGCAAACTCCTTAAAAAGAATTAAAATCCAGCAAACCAATAAATTTTAGTGCAAAAATTAAGGAATTAATGGCATTACTAAAATGTTATGTTTCAGACTCAAAAACACTAATCTTTCAAGTGTGACAATTGCTCTATTTTTTTTTTATTTTTTTTTATCCAGGTCACAAATAAAGCCACATTTTCTTGGTGTGACATTTAATTTATCTTTCTGAACTGTTTCAGTGCAACAGTTTTCTAAACTCCAGTAAGTAACAAGTCTGAATTTAATCTTTTTGTATTGTCACATGACTGAGGATTTACACAAAGAGTAGATTATACTTACCAACTGTCCACTGCATAGAGCAGATATACCTATAAGAATCAGAGTTTCACCCTGTGGGTACACACAGCCCCTTGCATGGCTCTGGTTAGGGTTCAGCAGGGTATTTGGGGTGTGCAGTGTATACATGCATGGTAGGTTAATTCAGCGGTGACACAGTGTAACAATCCATCCCAAGCAGGATACACAGACAGGACATCTTCCGGAGCACACACACACAAAGCATGGGGACCCACCCAGGGGGCTCCTCATCAACACACACAGAATGCACCTAATGGCCCAGGATCTACACTTTATATCCTACACTGCAGGGATTCATTCACTAACATCACAATTAAAGGATTTAGGGAAAAATAGCAGAATTTGGGGCAAAAAAAACAATAATTCAGCATTAGTCATTGCTTCTCTATTTTACCCCCAAAATAGCTTAATGCAGCTTTAAATGTATTACCATTCTCACTTTAGGGTATACATCACTAAACAATGTTTATTAAACTGAAATAATATATTTTTTAAAAAAGCTTATTTTAAAAAAACAAAAAAGCTTTTTAAAAAAAAAAAAAAAAGTAGTGAGAGCAGCCATTCCCCTAGGTTTAGTTACAAACCCCCCTGGCAGTCCCCCTGTTTTGAAGTCTTTAGGAAAGCCTCAATGGCGCAGGATGATTACGTAATGAGCCGCACTGAAAGCTGTAGAACTACGTTTCCCATAAACGTTCGAATAGGCTTTCACCCGACAGCTTATCGGGAAATGTAGTCCAAGCAGACTCGCAAGGTCAAAGGGTAAACGTCAAGGCTATGCAATGATGGAGGAGGAGCTGGCTATTTAACTCATCATGTGCTGGACAGTAGTAGTTTTTATTGGCAACAAAAAAAAGTTTTTTTTTTTGGTGTTCTGTATACATGTTTTATCACTAATTAATATTTGACTGAAGATCAAAGAGCTGTGCAGTTCCTTTCTCCAGGAGACACAGGGTTAATGCAGTTACAGCAGCTCTGCTGGTTTGGATACATTTATTATCAAGAAACAATGTATCATATGTTACTTGGGAAGATATATTTCCGTGGGAGGAGCAGGAGGGGTAAATAAACAGGAAGAAGGACACTATAAGTGATCATAGTGTGTGGTGTAAGGATGGCAGCAGTAGATTATTAGAGCAATATGCAGTGGAGGCACAGTTTGGGGATCTGGGTATTTGCCACAGCTGCAGCCCTGCTTGTGTTACATTGCTGGAACTGCCATCTAAAATCACAGGTAAGTGACACAAGAATCTCATGAAGTGATAGCATAGTGATAGAAATCTGTTTAATAGGGGAGCTGTGTTAGATCTGGGGGGGGTCTGTATTTATTTTGTCTCTCCCCAGCAGAGATCAGGATATCTGCATAGTTCTTCCCATACTGCCACAGTTATAGTATATAAACCCATCTAAACTGGGACCTTGTCACATTGTGTTCCTGTATTCTTACATTTGTTCGACCTCTTATTATATATGTATGTCTTCCCCTTCTATATCATTGCGGAGTCCGTTTTCGGAATAAAATGTTAAATGATTGCTCTAAGCACCAAAACAACTTAAGCTTAAAGGGACACTCCAGGAACAAGAACAACTTGATTGCAATGGTGTTGTCATGGTGCAAGGAGGTCCCACAAGCCAGCATTATTGAAGGGGTTAAACCATTAACAAACAGTTTAACCACAAAGTCTTCAAGACAGCGCCCAATTGCATTGCCTCTAAACTTCTGCACCATATTCAAGGTTTCAATCAGAGAGAAAGATAAAAAATTCCAATTTAAACAGAATGTGCTATAAAGGTACCTAGAATATCTAGTTTCCATTTCAGGTAATGTTTAGGAAGGCTGTGCAGGTCACATTTGGCTCATTTAACATGGTGTTTTGTATAATCCAAACAAAACATGTTAAAGGGACTCTATAGTCACCAGAACAACTACAGCTTATTGAATTTGTTCTGGTGAGTAGAATCATTACCTTCAGCCTTTTTGCTGTAAACACTGTCTTTTCAGAGAAAATACAGTGTTTACATTACAGCCTAGTGATAACTTCACTGGCCACTCCTCAGATAGCTGTTAGAGATCCTTCCTGGGTCATGGCTGCCTAAAATGCATCCAAACATTCAGTGTCTCCAACCTCTGCATGCCGACACTGAACTTTCCTCGTAGAGATTCATTGATTCAATTCATCTCTATGAGGAGATGCTAATTGGCCGGGGCTGTGTTTGAATCATGCTGGCTTTGCCCCTGATCTGCCTCCTTGTCAGTCTCAGCCAATCCTATGGGGAAGCGCTGCAATTGGATCGGGCTACCACTTCTGATGATGTCAGCAGACTGCTTGTTTTTCTGAGTTTAACAGCATGCAGAGTTACAACTTTAGGCTTGAATACAGTAAGATCTTTACTATATTTATGGAGGCATGAGGGGCCCAGGGGGGCTAGATGGTGGTTTTAACACTATAGGTTCAGGAATACATGTTTGTATTCCTGACCCTAAAGTGATCCTTTAATCTATAGTGACACTATGCAGTCTTTAACTCCTTAACCCCTTAAAAGGACACTATAATCACCAAAACAATTTTGGCTTAACATATCAGTTTTTGTGTATAGATCATGCATCTGAAGTCTCACTGCTCAGTTCTCTGTCATTTAGGAGTTAAATCACCTTGCTATTTTAGTTTAGATTGTTTCAATTTGGCTTATTTCCTTTTTATTAGGTAACAGTAAGACTACAGGGGCATGGTCTATACACCAAAACTGCTTAAATAAGCTAAAGTTGGTTTGGTGACTATAGTAGCCCTTTAAGGACAGAGATAATTGTAGAAGTTCTGAACCAAAAACAAAACCTCAAAAAATTTAAGTTTAACCATAATTTACCTCTTTCATATAAAGTGCAGCCACACCTATTATGCATCAATTTGTTTGAGAAATATGGCCTTCATTTCACATTGTAGATAATGTAAATCACATTACTTGATGGCTAGATTGACTGCCTGTAGACTGACAGCGGTGGCAGGCAGGTCCCCCAATCACAATCAGCGTGCAGGGTAAGTATTCGAGTCATGGGGCAGGTCAGATGATTAGGGCATACTCTGGGGGAGATTTATCATAGTGTACTGTGGTGGAAAAATGTAAAATAGGAGGAGCCACAAATGGAATGTGCCTGTTGGTTTCTATGGTAATTGCCCCACTTATAGTAATTTAGACCATTATTTAGAACAGAAATTTTATAAATGCTCCCCATTGTGTTTTTTGTTTTTCTTTACAGACATGGCATAAACCCATCTATGATTACTTATGGGAAGAAGACGAACAACTCTACAAGTTGGACGCCAACTGGCCCAAAAATGGAGAATTATTTTCTGGTGTAGCCTACGGTGTGGCAGTTGACCCCTTGAATTCATTAGTTTATGTAGCACAGGTATGCTATTTTAGTTTAGATTGTTTCAATTTGGCTTATTTCCTTTTTATTAGGTAACAGTTTAGTTTTTTTGTTTTGTTTTTTCTTCCTTAAACCTTTCTGTCACTTATTTCGGACACAGCATGCTCAAATAACCTTTCCATTAAACCATGTTTTCAATATCTAACGTGAAGGCTGATAGGCCTATAACATTTAACCCCTGGGGGAGTATGTGTTGTAGGCAACACAAACCAAAGTTTAGTTATAGGCCCCTGGGGTGGAGCATTTGGAGAGCAGGGTGGGCCAATGCTCCACTCTGCAGTTTACATACAACTGGGAGAAATAAGGTCCAGGCGAGAGTTTTAATCTATCTCCAACCCACTGCTCAGCTGCAGATAATCATCTGCAGCAGTGGGAATAAACCCCTCCCTGCTAGGCAGGTAAAGGGGGATTGCTGGCTTCCTCCCTGGAAGCAGGTAGGAGAGACACTGTTCTCTCCTGTGAGAGAGTCAAGGAGACTGGGCACTGGGAGTGCAGAAAGAAAAGCAGTTAAGGCTGGCTTGGAGCACTGGGAGTGCAGAACGAAGCAGTCAAGGCTGGCTTGGAGCACTGGGAGTGCAGAACGAAGCAGTCAAGGCTGGCTTGGAGCACTGGGAGTGCATAAAGGAAAGCAGCAGGCTAGCTGAGCGCACTGGAGTGCAGAAAGGAGTGCAGAGTGTTGCTATCTAATAAGGTTGGTGCAACCCAACAATATATTTTGTTAGTTTAACCCTGATAGAGAGGGATATTAAAAGTGGGTCAGTGCTCAGACGAGCTAGGTTTTTGTTTAAAGGGGAAAACTGTTATATTTATGTTTAAGTTGTGTTGCTGTGTGGACTTGCCAATAAAATTGCCTGGATTAGATGAAAACCAAAAGACTGTGCCTGTTGTTTACCCTAGAGGACCGTGCTATCTGCAAACGAGGATCACACTCTGTAGAATATATATAGAAAATGCATATGTACAGTCATTTAACAGGGAACACTTGCCAACTTATATATACCTGGCATAAGCATTTTGATCAAATTCATCATCCAATATGTATCCTTGATTGAAAATATCCTTAAATGAACTTGCTTAAGTTGTTTTGGTGCCAGGAATGCCCATAAACTGTGATTTTGATTTTTAGAGAGGGGAAAATGTATCCAAAGTGCTGGTTTTTACAGAAGAAGGATATTTTAAGGAGCATTGGAATACAAACACCATTGAGATGCCTCATGGGATATTCGCAGTGAGCACTAATACAGAGCAGTTCATATGGATAACAGATGTGGGCTCAGGCAAGTGAATGACATATATTTGCCATATTGGTGCATTAAATGATGTTTAAAGGAATTTAAGATGACAAAAGATCCCTGACCAAAGAAAGAACAATAAGGCACTATATAAATCTTTAAAAATTACATTATGTCAATTTAAAGTAGTAATGTCAGTAGCTAGTGTACGTCATAGACACAAGATCTGTGTCTATAGTAAATCGAGTGATATCCTATGTAGTAAAGAAATATATATGTAAAGGAAAAATAAGAAATCATTTTTCTTTACATATATATTTCTCTACTACATAGGATATCACTCAAATTACTAGACACATCTTATTGTGTCTGACGTACACTAGCTACTGACTTCATTCTTTTAAATTGACATAAGTTAATTTTTAAACACTTATATAGTACCTTATTGTTCTTTCTTTGGTTAGGGATATTTCTCTCTATATATTTTTTTTTAATTTTTTTTTTTATCTTAAATATTTCACTGGGTTCATTCCCCCATTTATCCTTTGACCATTCTTCCCAATTTGATGTTTAAAGAAACACTGCAGGAACAAAAACCCCCGCAGCTTGCTGTAATGGTTATGGTGCCCAGGCGCACCCACCCACTGTAAACAGTCAAACCAGTTTAGAGAAGCTCCTGTTTGCTCCCTTGAGAAGAGCTCTGCAATGGCTGAGAGTGATCTGCTGAGGACCTTCTATTTCTCCAGCAATGGTGGTGGTGGGAGTGGTGCCCTCATTGTAGTCCAGGCTTGCCTGCATGCTTGGGTTCTAATCCAGAATTACATACACTATAGCCTTACACAGTTTGTGCCATAATACTACTATAGAAAGAGTAATGCATTGGAAGTTTGTATAAAAATAATTTTGCTGGTTTAAAGTTCTAAAAGCAGACAATTTACCATGGAAACCTGGTTTCCTTGTTCCTTATTATCGCAACTCTTTAAGAACGTAATCTCAAAATTTCTTTATATATAGCTTCCGATGTTTAAAGCAATATATTCCTCTGACTTTATTATTCTCTGAGTTCACAAATTAATGTAAATCCTGACTTGGTATATACCTAATTTGCAGGATTATATGGGCACACAGTAAAAAAGTATTCACCCTCTGGAAATCTTGTTCAAGTCCTTGGAATACCAGGAAAGGCAGGTTCAAGCCTGAATCCACTTCAGTTTGATCAACCTGCAGACATTTTTGTTGAGAAAACAGGCGAGATTTACATTGTGGACGGAGATGGTGGACTGAATAACAGGCTTCTCAAACTCACAGACAGTACGTACTTACTTTTCATGGTATCTATATGTTCTATGCAGCTATAACCATTACAGAGATGTATACGTTTTTTTTATATTATGGATTATTTTTGTACCGCAGCTAGGAGAACTGTATATATTATGACCTGTAATTAATGAAGCAGTACTGTGTGGCAAATTTATATAAAAGTGAAATTAAATCCCAATTGTAAAATTTACACCAAGATAACAAACTTTTTTTAAAATGCTACAGTATTGTTTTTTAGGTTACAACACAAACCAGTAACTGTGAAAAAATGCAAGTTTTAGACTAAAGTAGTCTAACTGAGATCAGGCTATAATTTCCAATTACTTTGATAATTCTCTACAACTTAAAGTTTAGTGAATACCAGCCTGACCTTGAACTATTATGTTGTACTTTCAGAATGGAGACAATCGGACAGTTTTTTATTTTATTTTTTTATATATATATATATATATATATATATATATATATCCACGCGCCTTCTGTGTGTTACAGTAACAGTATAGTGTCAGGAATGCAAACCTGTATTTCTGACATTATAGATTTAAGATCATATTAGGCCCCCGACCCCCTCTCCTGCCTTTAAAAGGTGAGATTATTCCCAGTGCAGTGCGGATCTCCTTGTGGTTGACCATGCACCTGCACTTACTCCTTGGCTGAGATCATTGAATTCGATCTCAGCCAATTCAAAGCTTTCCCATAGAAAAGCATTGGGAGGCAATTGCACATGCGCAGCAAAACGCTGTCAGTGCATCTCTGAGGAGATGCTTATTGGCACATGTTAGCCTAAATCAATGCATCTCTATGGGGACCGTTCAGTGTCTCTATTCAAAATAGTGGAGAAGCTGAATGTCTGTGCTGCACACTGTGCAGCAGTGACCCAGGAAGCACATCTAGTGGAGATGTCCCTAGGCTGTACTGTAAACAATGCTGTTTCTTAAAAAGGCAATGTTTACAGTAAATCTCCTGCAGGGATTTACTATACATACCAGGACAAATAGATAAAGCTGTAGTTGTTCTGGTGACTATGGTATGGTATTTAATATGCAATAAGCCATAATTTTGGACTGAATCCTATCACAAACGGGACTGAAGTGGAACCCATGCAATGACTACATGTTGTGTTTTAAAACCTTGCAGAAATGATTTATTTCTAAAGTGCCAACAAATTCTGCACTATAGTGATCCTTCAACTACAAGATATCCGTAATTAAATATAATATTAAGATTACTTAGTACTATTATTTACTTTTTTCCCTTCTGGCATTGTAAAATATTGCAGTTTTTAGAGAAAATCTGTTTTTTTTTTTTTTTACCCTATAGGATTTAACATGAAGGAAAGGGACCTCAGTTAGGAAAAAGGACAAATGAGTCATTTATTACATGTGAGTTTACAGAGGAAGAGGTTCTATTTCAACTGTCAAAAGTAAAGACAAGTCAATGGGACCTGATGGAATACCCCCAAAGCTATTAAAAGAGCTTAGTAGTGTACTAGCAAAACCATTAACCGATTTATTTAACCAATCATTGTTAACAGGAGTAGTCGCAGAAGATTGGAAGTTAGCGAATGTTGTGCCCATTTACAAGAAAGGTAGTAGGCAGGAGTCGGGCAACTATAGACCAGTAAGCCTTACTTCAGTAGTGGGGAAAGTAATGAAAACCATGTTAAAGGATAGGATTGTTGAACATCTAAAAATACATGGATTTCAAGATCAGAGACAACATGGGTTTACTTCAGGGAGATCATGCCAAACTAATCTTATTGATTTTTTTGATTGGGTAACTAAAATTATAGATCAGGGTGGTGCAGTAGACATTGCTTACCTAGATTTCAGTAAGGCTTTTGACACTGTTGCACATAGAAGGCTTATCAATAAATTGCAATCTTTAAGTTTGGATTCCAATATTGTTTAATGGGTAAGGCAGTGGCTGAGTGACAGGCAACAGAGGGTTGTAGTCAATGGAGTATATTCAAAGCTTGGACTTGTCACCAGTGGGGTACCTCAGGGATCTGTACTTGGACCCATTCTCTTTAATATTTTTATTAGTGATATTGGAGAAGGTCTTGATGGTAAGGTATATATTTTTTCTGATGATACTAAGATATGGAACAGGGTTGATGTTCCAGGAGGGATAAGCCAAATAGCAAATGATTTACGTAAACTAGAAAAATGGTCAGTTGTGGCAACTGACATTTAATGTGGATAAGTGCAAGATAATGCATCTTGGACATAAAAAAAACCCAAGGGCAGAGTACAGAATATTTGATAGAGTCCTAACCTCAACATCTGAGGAAAGGGATTTAGGGGTGATTATTTATGATGACTTAAAGGTAGGCAGACAATGTAATAGAGCAGCAGGATATGCTGGCAGAATGCTTGGTTGTATAGGGAGAGGTATTAGCAGTAGAAAGAGGGAAGTGCCCATGCCATTGTACAGAACACTGGTGAGACCTCACTTGGAGTATTGTACGCAGTACTGGAGACCGTATCTTCAGAAGGATATTGATACTTTAGAGAGAGAGTTCAGAGAAGGGCTACTAAACTGGTTCATGGACTGCAGGATAAAACTTACCAGGAAAGGTTAAAGGATCTTAACATGTATAGCTTGGAGGAAAGACGAGACAGGGGGAGATATGATAGAAACATTTAAATACATAAAGTGAATCAACACAGTAAAAGAGACCATATTTAAAAGAAGAAAAACTACCACAACAAGAGGACATAGTCAAATTAGAGGGGCAAAGGTTTAAAAATATCACTTTACTGAGTATTACTTTACTGAGAGGGTAGTGGATGCATGGAATAGCCTTCCAGCTGAAGTGGTAGAGGTTAACACCGTAAAGGAGTTTAAGCATGTGTTGGATAGGCATAAGGCTATCCTAACTATAAGATAAGGCCATGGACTAATGAAAGTATTTAGAAAATTGGGCAGACTAGATGGGCCGAATGGTTCTTATCTGCCGTCACATCCTATGTTTCCAGTGCACTTGTCCATTATATACACCTTATTCAAATAAAGAATACAAAAAATGGAAGTTTGTTGGTTACCTTGGTTATTAACAAAAGGCTTTTTAACCCCTTAAGGACCAAACTTCTGGAATAAAAGGGAATCATGACATGTCACACATGTCATGTGTCCTTAAGGGGTTAAGAATTTGAAATGTGAGCTACTGAAACAACATTTAGACATTTAAAGATATATGTACCTCTTTTGGATATGTATAACGTTATTTAGCAGTGTTGATTTATTTAAAGGTGCACTATGGCACATCCCATAGCTGTGTTTCATAATGATCCACTGTAGACTTGCAACACCGTTTGTAACTTGTGTGATACCATTTTGATTTGCATTCTTGTTTTTTGTTATAGATTTCTGGGTGCAGTGGACCCTGGGTGGCAATGGTACAAATCCTGGACAGTTCTATATTCCACACAGTGTAGTGGTGGATGAACAAGGACGAGTATGTATCCAGAAGTTTATGCAGTGCTATATTCTAGAACATGTTACAGATCTTTTTGATGTACAGAGTTAGAGCCTTGTACAGTTTAGCAGTACTTTAAATGCCTACTTTAAACCAATATAGTCTAGTTGGAAGAAGATTGTACGCCGAGATGCTTTATTCCATGTAAACAAAAGACATAGTCGGTGTTTATTTTTCAGTCAATACTCGGTACTAATGCTAAAAGTAGGCACCCAGAATGAGTGCTGTAGAATTGTGGTTGACAACGATTTATAGTAAAAGGAAACCAACCTTTTAAATGTGTTCGTTAGGCAGGAAAGAACTAATAATTTTCAGGCTAAATTGAGAGTGGAGAAGACTAGTCCTGGGGGGGCAGGGCTGGACCATCGAGCTGACAGGATTCCATCTTTAACAGCTCTGGTTTTGCGCCTGATCTGCAACCATCCTGCTTCTTTCCAACTGCTCTCATCACTTAATGCTACTTTTTGGCATAAATAATCCTACAAAAACATTTTTGACACATTTATGTGAGGTTTACCCTTTGAGAACTTCACTTACAACCTCTTTGTACGACTGCTCACTGTAAGACCTGCTATTTGACTGAGAAGGCATGCTCTCCCAGCAAGATTCTGACTGGTGTGGGTTATCCATGCACAAGTGTCAGTTTGAATAATTTTGATTTGGCTCTCCCCTTACCCTCCATGTGACTGACTGTAAAGCTGCTATGCCATTTTTCTCTTCTACGCATGCTCCTGGTAAAAGGAGGATATCCGAGAGACAGACCGGGAACTACCTACCTACAGTCCTAGAGACTGACGCCTTGTTCCAGAGTTGCCGGATGTGATCAGTGATGGAATGCAGGGGCCTCCACCTCCGGTATGAGACTGGAGAGTGTCCCCTTTGCAGATAGCCCTGCTGGCTCAGGCTGATGGGGCCTCCGGTAGTCCGGCGCTGTGTCGCTTGAGAGTGGCTGGCATTTGGGGTCTTTTGTAAAGCTACTCTGCAACTTTATTGTGGAAGTGCAGAAGGTTGCTGGCCACAGAGGCCTTTGGAGGGGGGAGAGGAGCTTGTGAAGTAGATTTGAGTGCCCCCTGTGCCATTGATGATACCACAAAGTGTCTGCACTGGCATATACACTTTTGCTGATTCCATGCTGTCCGTTTCAGTGGTGAAGAAGGGTGGCTATCCCATCTCTGTGGAGCTACTCACTAATTTTTTTTTTTTTTTTTTTTTTTAAATGTGATCCAAACTTATTACCCTGTTGTGCATATAGTTTGCTGGCCATTCATGCTAGCATTTAGATCTTCTGGTTTGCCCTAGGCAACTTTTTGTGTGCTCACCGGGATATACCATTAGATCGTCAAGCAGGCTATTTCTTTTCACGTCTATCGGGACTCTTTCCTTCTCTTATGCTTAAAAGGGACATGATAGTCACTGGAACAACTACTGCTTAATGCAGTTGTTCTGGTGAGTATAGTCAGTCCCTGCAATCTTTTTGCTGTAAACACTGCCTTTTTAGAGAAAAGGTAGTGTTTACATTACAGCCTCGGGACACCTCCAGTGACGGTCACTCAGAGGGCCACTAAAGGTGCTTTCTGGGTCAATGCTGTACAACACAAAAAATGCTCACCAATACATTGATTCAATGCATCTCTGTGAGGAGATGCAGATTGGCCAGCGCGATGATTGGTTCCAATCCACTTCCTTGGATTAGATTATCAGAATTGACAATCTCTGAAAATCCGATGCTTTCCCAGCATGCATGATATTTTATTGTCACTTTAATATAGCAATGGCTAAGGTCTTCTTACTGGAAATATGTCTGTGTATTCTTTTTAGACCCAAGACACGATTCAGTTGATGTGTTAATGGATACAACATATAACATAGTAACTTAAACAATAGGTGCTTCCAAACTATTACTATTTTATAATACTATATTTCTCTCTCTCTCTCTCTCTCTCTCTAAAATAAATATAATATTGTTATTTGCATTGTACATGACCTTTCATATTACTGTTATTCATGACATATACTATATGGACAAAAGTGTTGTGACATCTGACCATTACACAACAGAGACTTTTATGACATTGCATTCCAAATACATAGACTTTAATATGTAGTTCCTCATTTGCAGCTATAACCACTTCCACTCTTCTATTTTTAAGGTTTTTTTGTGTGCAAGTTTTTGCACATTCATCTAGTAGAGCATTGTTAGATTAAGCATTAGCTTGGACGATGAGGCCTGGCTCACTATCTCTGTTCCAGTTCATCCCAAAGGTGTTCAATAGGGCTGAGGACAGGGCTCTGTGCGGGCCAGTCCAGTTCCTTCACAACAAACTTATACAACCATGCCTATGTGCAGCATAGAATTGTCCAAAATGTCCTGGTATGCTGACGCATTAAGGTTTCCCTTCACCGGAAGTGAAAATCAGCCCCATACCCTTATCTCTCCTCCACCAAACTTTACAGTTGATAAAATGCAGTTAGGCACGTAACGTTTTCCTGGTATCCGCTAAACTCTGATCACCCAACTGAGAAGCAAGATTCGTCACTCCACAGAACACGTTTCCACTGCTCCAAGTGTCGAATTGAGTGGTGTAAAGCACTCTGCCACTGGCTCTGTGACTTTACGTGGTATTCTGTTTCATGGCTCAGTTGCTGCTGTTCCTAAATGCTTTCGCTTTTTAATAACCGTAGCAGGGATGAAGTTTCACAAATTGACTTATCCCATGGTGGCATCTTATCAAAGTACCACACTTGAATTCAGAACAACACTTTTTTTTTTTTTTTTTTTTTCACAAAATGTTTTGTAAATGCAGACTGCATGGTTAGGTGCTTGATTTTATATACCTATTGCAATGGGTCTCATTGAAACACCTGAATTCAATAATTAATTTGTCCCAATACTTTTGTCCATACAGGGTATGCCGTCAGTGGTGTTTTTAGTATTTGTGCTGCCCCTCCTAATTAAAATTTTCCCCACCCCTTCCTGTCAAGGACGCACACTCACTGACAGACGCATACACTCATTGACACACACTCTCATATACACTGACAATGACATACACACTCACTGATTTGACACACTGATGGACACACACTATTACTTGTAAACACTGACAGACAGCCACACAGTGACAGACATACACACTGACAGCAAGACACATGTAATCACTCAGACACACACTGATATACACACACTGACAGCAAGACACACAATCACTCACATACACTGACAGACTCCCCTCTCCCCAACATTAATTAATAAAGATAACTTTTTCTATTTTAGTTTAAATCCACCCAGCCTCCCTACCTTTGGAAGAGCTGGGTGTATTTTTTTTTTTTTTTACCTGGGGTCCAGTGGGTCTTCTTGCAGGGAGGGAGGCAGGCACTTAGGCGGCTAAGTAGAAATCCTGGAACTTGGGCGGCTAAGTAGAAATCCATGCGGGCGCCACTGGCGAGGGAGCACTGATTAGTGAGCTCTCTGCTCAGCTTCCTCGCGCGCCACACAGTGATGCCGGGAGCCGGAATATGACGTCATATTCCGGCTCCCAGCATCACTCTGCGGCACGCGGGAGCAGAGCAGAGAGCTCACTAATCAGTGCTCCCTCGCCAGCGCCGCCTACCCGCCCACATGGATTTCTACTTAGCCGAATGCCGCCAGGCTAACAAGGCATTAGCCTGGGCATTTGGGGGCGGCGTTTTTTGCCGCCCCCTGGTAAGTGCCGCCCAAGGTAAATGCCTTGTTTGCTTCCGGCAATTACGTCCCTGTATGCCATATCTATCTATCAAACCTTGAATTACAAAAAAAAAGACTATTCCTGTAAGTAAAGCTTTTTCAAATAGGGGAAAAAAAAGATGCATTGCATAAATAACCTCTGATGCTAAATCTAACCACTGCAAAGTTTAAGTCAGGTGCATGGTTTTTGTTTATTTGTTCTATAAAATATAACACTAAGCTTATGCATCATAAGACATTAATAGCCTTTATGAAATGTCCCCATTTAATGATCGCTATAGCACCGAAATCTTCTTTTCTGAGAAAAAGGCTCATACCAACCTTTTTAATACACACTTTTGCTTTTAGGTGTGGGTTGCAGATCGCGGTAATAAAAGGATACAGGCATTTGATAAAATCTCAGGAGAATGGATCGGTACTTGGGCCACCTGTTTCCTAGACGATGGCCCCTATTCAGTCCGGTATGAAGGCACACTTCTCATAAAATATTGCAGTAATTAACAGACAGTTTGACATGTTTACTTTTTAAAATACAATCAGAAGTTTTCTAATATGTGTAACAGAATGTTAAAGGTTTTTTTCTGACTCATCCAGCTTGTATACAAGGTATTGTAAGATTAGCTGCCATCTGCCCACTGGCGAATATGAGTCATAAAAAATAGAGATCCTTATGGTAAATGACATAATGTATTCCAATGACAGGATAAAGTAATATTCTGAATTATATGTGCTCTCAACTTCATAAACAGCAGACGCTTGTTAACGCTATGTATACTGGTCTTATTCAGTGGAGTAGAATGTGGATCAAAGCAATCACCGTAAAATGTTATTGATTTTTTTTTTACTGTTATATTTTAGTTACAGTGCTTATTTGTACTTTAAATAGTTTAAATGATTAATGGGAAGCATTTCACTAACGTTACTTCCACATATCAAAACTTGCATGCGGACTGCCCATTGAAGCTCACCTCATTCCCTGGACGATGGGATAGAGGCTACACTATTAAAATCACGTGTCCAGAGAATACCCATGACTGGGATAGACCGGGACCTCATCAAGAGTCTGGCATTTTCTGGCTTTTCAAATGGCATATTATCAACCATTTATGTAACTGAAGGGCCATTAACCCCTTAAGGACACATGACATGTGTGACATGTCATGATTCCCTTTTATTCCAGTTTGGTCCTTAAGGGGTTAAACAAGACTAATCCTCAAACAATTATTCCAGTTAGCTTTGTATTTTGCATTTAACGCATACCTTCTTTGTAGTACAAATCGTAACTTTCAGTATTGTGGGTGTTACTTTTTGAGGTGTTTATTTTGTTTAAATCAGATCCAGCCTATATAGGAGGAGGTATTGTCACATTTTAAGTACTACCAAATGGTAGTAATGGAGAATTACTCTCACACAGGTATTTTTGTCAGGTACACATAATCCATTACATTTTTAGACTTATTGTAGCATACATCTTGAAATATGAATTACTCATGTCACCCATGTATGATTACAATGAATGTTTGTTTACTGATTTACCTTGCATATTTTTTTCTTCTTTTTATTTTAGGTTAACCGCTGATAAGAAGTACCTTATTGTGGCTCAGCTAAACCTAAGCCGCGTGCTGTTACTATCCATGCCTCCTATAGGGGGAATTGGAGTGTGTCACGTTATAAACACTATTCAGATGGCAGATGGAGTTCGGCCACATCTTGTAGATGTGAATGTAAAAACTGGTTCTATTTATGTTGCGGAACTCGGTGCTCAGCAAGTACAAAAATATGTGCCTTTTATAAAATAATCATGATTAAATAAACTAAAAATACCTTTTGAAATACACTTTTTTTTTTTTTTTTTTAAGTGGTGTGACCACATGTCTTTGGATGGTAAAATTAGTTTCACTTCTGGGTCAGAGTGGAATCTGTTGCATCCAGTGAAAGTGCAAGGGACTGTCATGCATTATTGGCATTTACTTTATTGTCTGAATTCTAAAATGCAAAAATATTTTACTACCTTCTCACATTTTAATGAGGCTCAAGTAGTTGCTCACTCATATAGTATTGTTCTAGTCCCATAATCAGTGGTGGCTGGTGAATTTTTAAGATGGTAGGACACCAGACTCCTCCTCCCTGTTCAGTACAGAGATACTCATCCAATACAGAGAGATTGCATTTTGCTCTCTCATGCACATGATTATGTGCTGTTATCTGTTTTGTGATTGCATAATGCACTTTTATTAACACGATTATGTGTTCCCTTTGGCACTTTATATGTATTTTTGCACATCATTTATGTGCTTACATTTTTGCACTTACCTTATGTGCCATTTTTGCACTTTATGTATATGGTTTATGTGCTTATATTTTGCAGTTTTATGCATGTGGCTTTGGGCTCATATCAAGCACTTCTATGTCATGTGACTTATGATACATTGTTATGGATTGGGATATTTATTTGCACTAGAGTATTAACTCAATGGCAGTTGATACACCTAATTTTTACTTGGATTCAATGTGTTGGATATTTATATGGTGACACTATTATAATGTCGATGTATTTATTTTGCAATTGGTAGCAATGTAGAAGAATTGTATTAGTGGAATACCATATGGTATTAACTGTAAAGCTTATTATTTATTTATTTTTTTAATAGTATTTCAAATTACTGCTGCATATCTGTTCAGAGACCAATTGTGTTTCATTGCCCTTATTCCTGCATGGTACAATAAGCATAAAATTGAATCTGAGCATAATACAGAGATACTTGTACAATAGGCATGATACAAAAGGTACCTATACAATACTCCATTAGCTCTCAGCACACAGTTAGCACGTGGTTATTGCATTAAGATACTGATCGACTCTGACCATTTCAGCTGCTCCTGATTCACTATTAGCTCAGCACACTGTGTACAAAGTGTTAAAGCAGCATTATACTGATAGACCCTTTATTACCTTTGCAGCTGGCAATATAATCAATCTACAGTGGTAATATGGGACCAATAGGTAGCTGACATGGTTAACAGAATCAAAAATCATTACAGATTGAAATCAGATCAGTCCTCGGAGTCCCAGTCCCAGTCCTGCAGTTGGAGGCTTCACAACCTTTCAACTAGCTACACCAAGAGTGCCTCAGCTGTAGAGTGACTGAGCACTTTAACCCCTTAAGGACACAATTTCTGGAATAAAAGGGACTCGTGACGGAATATTTCTGTCATGTGTCCTTAAGGGGTTAAAGAAGATGGTGAGTACGTGCTGTAGGAGTTTTTAAAACTATTAGTGACTGGCAGCACAGTGTTCTGTGTCAGAAATGTCATCCTCCTCTTGTCACCCCTGGGTTTCCCTATATTATAATATATTTTAGTAAATTTCTTTGCTTAATCAGCCTTCAGACATTGGGGGAGAGAAAAATATCATTCACTTACATTTGGCAGGGGCCAGGAGCTGCTGTCATGCTCTCTCTGTGTTACTTCCAAGATAGCTTCTTGCTCCTCTTTTCTGTGGGCACTGTAAGCCACCCCATAGTGGGTCCTTCAGAACTGAAACCCTTTTACAGAATTAAAGAGACACATATTTTTACACAAATTTTTTTTCCCCATAATTTTTGGCTTACCACCCTCCCTACAGGAAAAACAGGTGACTGCCCCAAATGCCCCCTATGAAAAAGCCTCCACTGCATATGATTATAATGAATGTATCTGAGCACTACTTATTAGCACACTTCTAAATATGTCAACTGATTTGCAAAGATTTGGTTACACGAGATCAACTGGAATAAAATTCTTAATTTATCAAATCACTAAATTTGCAGAAGATAAGTTTGCAATTCAGTTGAAAAAAGACATTTGTATGGTAAAAATTGCACCCTAATCTGTAAACTGGAATTTTTATTTAATACATTTCAAGCAGCTCAGTCACTTTTGTGGATGTTTGCAAGGTGACATACCAACTTATCGTGCACCAACTAGAGGCGAAACTTAAAGGGACTCTATAAGCACTTAGACCACATAATCTCAATGATGTGATCTACATGGCATATACCCCCTCATTTTAAGTCTGCAGCTGAAAATATTGCTGTTCTGCAGGTACGCCATTGTTTCCATTACAGAGTTAATCTGCCTTTAGGGGCTGTCATAGTGACCGCCATTAGAAGGGCTTCAGCCAAATTAGTGTGCAGTAGCCTCCCAATGCTTTCCTATGGGATAATGATGTCCGCCAAAGAGGCAGAGCACTGTGAGGGAGAAAAGGTAAGTAAAATTCAACTTTTTACACCTTGCAGTGGAGGCCTTAAACGGTGACTAGGGCACTATAGCATTAAGATTACACATTTGTATTCCTGGATATAATGTTCCTTCAAGGGAGATACAATATACTTACCTGAATATCTCCCTCTCCAATCTTTCTTCTGACTTCAGCTCCTGGTATGCAAGACATTACAACATAGAGGTCTACTGAGGATCCCAGGAGACTGCAGGATCTTCCATGGAAATTAACTTACAAGGTGCAAGGATAATCCTTTTATTTGTGGGAAATTATAATACTTTACAGAGAAGCTGCATCTTTTATCAAGCTTTGTCGACCATAGCACAAAGCAATCCCTATTGATTGCGTTAAAAAGTTAATGATATTTCAACATGATCATTCCAGAAAGATTATACTAAAATCTATTTAAAGATTATATTATGTATGGAACCACTTCAAAGGTATCACAAAACTAAAGTCCACAACCAAGCAAGAGAGCTTTTCTTCATCAACGCAATCCGAGGTAGGTATAAGACCTTAAAAATTAAGAGAGGTTCCTACTGATTAGAGACTATATGTCCCCCTTCATAATTTTTAAGCAGTGGTCACATGAATAATAAACAAGATACTTTTTTTTGAAGATCCCACTGACCTCATCCATTTTTTTCTTTTTTCGAATCTTCTGAAGCACCCAATTCTAAATTCTGTAATGTTTTTGTAAAGTGGAAGAGCTACAATTGACTGTCAAGTGTGCTTCTACATAGTTAATACAAATCATGTGTTCTTTTTTCCTTAAAAATATATAAAAGGTGCGTAGCCAGCACCTGCACGAGCTGAACACACATCAAGGCAACCCTGCAAGCTTGCCCAGATATACCTGGTTAATTCCAGTCATCGGCCCTGCTATCGAGCTCAGAGGGCACCACCAGACGCCCAACTACATGGGGGAAAAAGAGCAAAAAGCAACGAGCTGACCTGCACTTAGGATCCCAAGTTATAGTGGGTTTCCTACGCACAACCCCTCTGCCTGATTCCATCAAGATAGCGCCCGCTGAGGCCTATACCCTAATGTCAGATGATTGCGCGTTGCTGCTGATCTCTTCCCTCCACCTAGGCCATGCATAGTACCACAGATGCCTGTGGAGCTGGAGGACTCTGTTCCATCTACCAAAGTAGATATCAGGGCACTTATGACAGAAATAAAGATCATGTTCAATGCAAACATGACACCAGTATCTAAGCTAACTAACAAAGTGCAGGCAGCAGAGGACGGTATGGAGGGCACCAAGCGAGTACAATCGGCTATTAATGTCGCTTTAGGAGCACTACAGAAACAAGGCGCAGATAGCCAGAGCACGACATTTGAGAATCCAGGGAGTGCCAGAAACTATTTCGGGAGCCAAACACCCGCACTATTGTCAGAGGCTAATTGCCACTCTGCTCATGCCCAAGCAGGCAAAACAACTAGTGGTAGACTCCTGTTTTCGACTCACAAAGGTTATTAGCGCAGCCCATGACTCACCGAGAGATGTTTTGCTCAAATTACCGTTGGACTCTTACCATGGGGTAATCATGGGGGCTGTGAGGGGCTCTTCCATGTTGTCGTTTGAGGGGACACAGCTGGCATTTTTATGGGACCTTTCCAGACATACCCTGGTATGGTGAAGATCCCTCAAGCAGGTCACCCAGCTACTACAGGAGCACCGCATTCTCTACAAATGGGGCCCACGTCAAATACTAGCTGATAAGGCCGGCAAGACACACCTGATGCCACACCTTTCTGAAGCACAATAACAGATATTCCATCCTGGACTGTTGCAGGAATCACTCCATTTGTGACCAGAAGAGGTGTGCCTGATACAATCATCTTAACTACCTGTAGTTGACAAGTACAAATACCTGTCTCATTAGTTTGCACTGCTTTATAATGCATACATTCAATTGTTTATTTTTCAATAACCTTACAACTATTATCCTGGCTCCGTAAGCTAATAGTTTAGCCTCTTGGTTAGTTTTCCCCCTTACCCTTTTACTAGAATGTTCTATGGCATATAGTCACTTTCATACAGGCATTACAATGCACGCTCAGCCCATGACCTCGGTCTTCTGACTAGGAAACTGTTCCTCTAGCTGTGACCCTCAGATTTTGAAGGCTTCCAAGCCCATTACTTACCCCATAGGTGCCTTAAATGAGCCCTTGTCTAATAGCGTTCTGACGATAAGCAGTAAGGCACAATAAGCCCCATACCTGCACTCTTTTAGACACAGATCTCTTTAACCATCCTTGACAATAAAGCCACAAAAAAAACTAAAATTAGTTGAATTAAACTATGTGATCTTGTCAATGCTATTATATAATATGTAAATCAAAAATTTTGTTGTTATAAATAAACATTACCCTTTAGTTGTGACACACACAAACACTATTTCACTTTTTTATCAATGAACTCAGGTTAAAAAAAAAAAAAAAAAAAATACACCCTGCCTCAATTTCCACTAACTCATTAGCAATTGGCAAGTGACAATTCTTCCCTGGGGAGTAGTAATTCACTCCCGGTGCTTGTGCCATGGATCACTCAGGCTTGCAGTGGCAAGTGACTTTTAGGCTTATCTAATTGCGTACGACTTGAAATTTTGAGCCTTGATATACATCATTATATCCTTGATGGGAGAGTTCAGTGCAATCGTCCAATTTGCTACAGAGGTATCCTTGCTGACAGTATCTTGGCTTAAGAACTATTTCTGAGTTCCAGAAACAGATCTACATTAATGAAATCGCACACAAGCCTATGCTCTCTAAGCGCAATTCCAAGTAACAGCAAAAGTGGTCTATAGCTCACTACTATTTATAACTTGTTTGACGAGCAGTGCTGCCATTAGGGGAGCACAGCCAATACAGCTGTATGCTATACAGGGCACGGACCACCTGGGGGACCAGCATCCCTGGGCCCTATACCCTCAATGTGTGTGTTTGTCCCTGCTGTGTAGTATAGTGAAGAGAAATTCCCCCACTAGTAATGTCCTCTCACGAGCCACAAGAGCGCTGCTGCAGCACACATGCCAGGCTTCTGAGAGAGGGATAAGACATGCTCCCTAGCTGACAGAGGTGTAATTTTGAGACTGCCAGGCTCCTTCTTCAGTATATAAGCATGCCATACCTTATTGAACAAGTCATCCTTTCAGTCATGATAAAATGGAGGAGTGTCTCTCCAAAATTCTTTCCTCTGTGCCTCTAATAAGTACACATATTTATACCTTAGATTTTCAATTAGGTTATGCTAGGACCTACCTTAACTTGGCAAAGATACAAGGCCATAAATTGGTCATTTCACATGGGAACATCATTATCTATGTTTAGACTAACACTAAAAGGTATAAATAACATGGGAAATTCCCTGACTTGTTGTTACATTAACCTAGAACAAAATGGTGTCCTAAAGTCTGAACACCATATTCACTGAACATGGGTAAGAGGTCATTTATTAAAGAAACATTGTATGAAAAACAATATTTTCCATTTCTAACAAATTGTCAGTTTGCAGAATCTCTTAAAAACAAAGTATGCAGTTTAAGAAATACAACTTTTCATTCTAAAAACTTGTAATATTTGCATATGCCCATAACCGTACTAGGCACCACCATGTAATCTAATTTGTCCCCTCCCTGGCCACAGTTAAGAGGCAGGGAGAAGGGAATATACCTAATTATAATGCATCCACTACACACAAACTGCATCCACTTTACTCACACACACTCTAAGCATTCACTATACACACACACTGCATACACTTTACACATCCCTGTGAGCTGACTCAGGGGTGGGCTTGTCGGAGGACTCATGGCCTTGAGCTGTGTAAGTGGCCGCATAATTTCTCATGGCAGCTCTGGTGACCAGTGATGCTTCACTATCTGGCAGTCTGATGGATATCTGTCCGGACAATGTTCCCACCTGGAGTGCATACAGCTTCAAGAAGGAATAACTTTTATGGCTCAGTCCTTGAAGGCAAGTGCTTATAGCATACAACCTCCTAGGCAGACTAGATGGGCCAAATGGTTCTTATCTGCCATCACATTCTATGTTTCTATCCTAGAATATAGATGATTTTTGTGCTGTCCTTTCCTGTTTCATTATGAAACATTTCACCTGCAAAAAGATGTCCCTGCAGACTGCTAGAGAAAAGCCTTCCTAGAAGAGTGAAGGCATAGCTACAAAGGAGAGGGAAATCCATATTGATGCCCATCATTTTGCTAGATATATTGACCACCTTGTCTTTGTAGTTAGGAAATACTTTCTCTTGATTAGTTTTGTGTGTTAACACAAGAGGGCAGCAAAGGCACAGGATGCTTCGTTTCAAGATTTAAGTATGTATTGTGGATAGCGATAACACCTCTGCTTAGAAACGTTTTAAACTCTTATTCACTAATAATATTTGGCAAAAGCTTTTCATCTTTTATGAAACAAACTGTAAACAGTGCCTGGGATCGGGTAAGCTGATCTGCTTCACTGCTAGTGATTTTGAGTAAAGAGCAGTGATCCCCGTAGACACTCTACTCTTTTCAGTCACTTTTTTTGGTTCTTCTAATCTCCAGTTTAGTGAATAAGCCCCCGTTTAGACAGGAATGTGCCTGGTGTGCATGTTCTCAAATGGCATTGGATGATCAAATCTGACCCCTATTGACACTAGCCAGTTATCAATATCAGGGAAGCCTGCTGGACAAAGTGTTCTGGAGGTATCCTACAAGGTAGCAAAAGCACTGTTCCTCTTAGAAACTAAATAATATGCGCTTTCTCACACAGGTGTAAACTCAGATTTAAACCTATATTGCAAATAAGTACTGTCTGTTCTCGGAAACTTTAAAGGAGCACTATAGGGTCAGGAACACAAACATGTATTCCTGACCCTATAGGGTTAAAACCACCATCTAGCCCCCCGGGTCCCATCATGCCTCACTAAATATAGTAAAATCTTACTTATATTCAAGCCTGAAGCTGCTGGCTTTGTCCCCGTTTCCTTTAGACATGCCTGCTGACATCATCAGAATATGATTTCCCATAGGATTGGCTGAGACTGACAAAGAGGCAGATCAGTGGCAGAGCCAGCACAATTCAAACACAGCCCTGGCCAATCAGCATCTCCTCATAGAGATGAATTGAATCAATGCATCTCAATGAGGAAAGTTCAGTGTTTGCATGCAGAGGGTGGAGACACTGAATGTTTGGATGCATTTTAGGCAGCCACGACCCAGGAAGGATCTCTAACAGCCATCTAAGCCGTGGTCAGTGAAGTTCTCACTAGGCTGTAATGTAAATACTGCATTTTCTCTGAGAAGACTGTGTTTACAGAAAAAAGCCTGAAGGTAATGATTCTTCTCACCAGAACATTCAATAAGCTGTAGTTGTTCTAGTGACTATAGTGTCCCTTTAAGACATATTGCTGTGTGAATAAAAGTATATGGGGTGTGTTCCCTGTATATCTGTGTGTTAACTGAAAATCAAACTGAAAAATGTAAGCTAAAATATTAAAGCTGTGACAATAGCTAAGTTGTAGAATGTTTCATGGACTGAGTTGTGTTGAGTCACTTAAAGAGTCTTTCAGATATTGCAAAGTCCCCTATAGCTGACATTCCCACTTGGTGTGCAGCAGCCCATGGAAGAAACTAAAGAAAATGTACTTACCTTATGAAATCTTACCTGGCATGCCATATTTTAGTTGAGTTCCATCTTCAGCTTGTGGTGCTTTATCCACCAACAGCCCATGTCACAAGTGTACTCACACCCGTGCGTGACAGTACAAAACAGACAGTTATGGAAAATTGCACTAGATTGTGATTAACTACTTTTGTCATTTCCAAGAATTAGTCTTTTCCTAACATTTGTCGATTCCCTGCAGCTCTCACAGGACTAAAGTTGACAGCGGAAGCTTAACCTTTAGTGAATTTTGGACAGGGCTGCCATCAGAAATGTTGGGGCCCCTTACACAGCTTAAGGCATAGGCCCCTGCGGCTCAGCTCAAACTCCACCCACATTGCCCACTTCCATGTCCATCCACAAGGCCCACCCCAGGCTCTGCCCGCAAGGATAAGTAGTGTATGTGTGCATACAGCAGTGTGTGTGTGTATATAGTGGTTGCAATGTGTGAATAGTGGATGCAGTGTGTCTGCATTTAGTGGATGCAAGTTGTGTGTATGTGTATAGTGGATGCAGAGTGTAGGTAGTGTGTGTGTGTAGTGGATGCCGTGTGCATGCCTCACAACCATCCCAATTTTGACAAGACAGTCCCAATTTTGGGGTTGTGTCCTGCTGTCCCGCTTTTGGGCACACCAAGGAACTTTCCCCAACAATCACAACATGAGCACATTATAAGACACACTTGCGCTATGTTCAGGGCAGCACTAGGACCCTGCAGGGAGCACTGAAACTTTGCTCTCTGCATGTCCTGCCCTCAGTGAGCTGCCTGAGTGATAGACAGGAAGCCTGGTGTATATTCACACCAGGCTGACCTCCTGTTAACTCGGGCAGACCTGCTCCCTTTACCTTATGTCATTGACTAGCCCCTTTACCTTTATTCTCAGAATACCAGAGTTGATTGGTATGAAAGTATGATGGCAGCCCTGAGCTTGGGCTTGATTAACACAGAAGTAAACCTTACTTTGTCTTATAATACTTTTTGATGGCACAAGCTATATACATATTCCATAAATATTAAAGGGGAACTGTCACTC